ATTGAGCTTGATGGCTTCCCAGGACTTTTCAGTTGAGATCTGTGGTAAGTGATATTTTGATATTGTGTAATAAAATGTGTCAACATTTGCAAGATCTTCAGATTTTTTCTATTTTTTTACCTGTCCGATTAATTTCTTTCTAATTTTAGTAGAGACGGGGTCTCGCTCTTGCTCAGACTGGTTTCGAACTCCTGAGCCCAAACAATCTGCCCGCCTCGGCCTCCCAGAGAGCTAGGATTACAGGCGTGAGCCACCGTGCCCGGCCGAAAGTATAGTTTTTAAATTAAAATGTTAATTATTAACATGTAACAAGTTTTATTACTTTAAAATGAATCATAGCCAGGTGTGGTGGTGAGTACCTGTAACACCCAGCTACTTAGGAGGCCAAAGCAGGAGGATTCCTTGAGCCCAGGAGTTCGAGACCAGCCTGGGCAATATAGTGAGACACTGTCTCAGAAAAAATTGAAATTAAAATTAAAATGAATTAATATGCATTTAAAATTTTTAGTTTTAGTTTCTCATATGAAGAATATCAACAGATATAACCCTCATAAGCCAAAGCTCTTTGGAGTCCTTAATAATTTAAGAGTGAATCCTGAGACCTAAAAGTTTGAGAACCCACTGGCTTTAAGAAGAGGGGTGAAAATAAAAATAGAAATGAGAAAAACTGATCCAAAATCTGAGAGTCTTCTAGAACTGAGGGAATGAAGACTTTGAGCAGAGTGGCAGAATGACTAAAGAGAAAAAGGCTAATTCAGGCAGCAATTCAGAGAAAAGAAATGGTTAAGTTTAGTGACAATTTCAGTATGTGGTAAATGAGATGAAAAGTTTAAAGATAACACGTATGATAACTGTGTTTTGGTATTGCAGACTGGAAATATTGACAGGAACAGAGCAGGTTCATGGATAGATGCTCCTTTTTAAATACTGTTTTTGGAAATCTGAGGAGGAGGGAATGGTGATGGCTGAGGCCAGAAAGAAACAGAAGTTACTTATAAATAGAAGTCAAGGAAGGCAAGAGGCTGAGCACGAAGCAGGTCCTGGATAAACAGAGGCAGGGGAAGGGGATTAACCCCGAACCAGGGGCCTGTCTCATTTAACAAACTTGCTCCATAATTTCTGTCTTGGAAATTTGGTGTTAAGTTAGTTGTTCAAGGTCACATACTAGTGAATTGCTGAACCTTGTCAACAAAGCCCAGCTTGCTCTAGAGTCTGGGGAGGGCGGGGTGGAGAAGGGTTTTCTGTTGGCGGTGATCTCCAGGGACCCTCAGGGTTCTCGTAGAGTCTGGCTTTGAGAAGAGGGAGTGATTGGATGGAAAGTGAAAGCAGGCCAAACTGGGACAGTTTGGGAATCAGAAAAAAGAGGGAATTTGTTGTTTTGGAATAGTGAATTCAGAAAAAGCTATTTGAGGCAGAAAAAAATATATATAAATAGAAAGCTCTGTTTTTAGGTAAGAGAAATATAAGCACATTTGAAACAGATACTAACTTGTAAAACCAGAAAATAATAGTGAGGAGGTGTGGGCTCTTGGTGTTAAAGTTGATAGAGAGATAATGGCCAACTTTCTAGCATCTTGTGGTTTATAAGTTGTTTCTCACACATCATTGGTTTTGAGCCTTGAAACCTATAGGAAGTGGGTACGGCCACTTCACTCGTGAGGAAGGTGTGGTTCAGAGAGTTCAACAGCTCTGTAAGAGGGCCAGAACAGGTTTAGCACGGAGCACACGCTGTCTTCCCAGACAGTAGGGAAGGATGATTATGAAGGGCGTCGAAGGTTTGAAGTTATGATGGCCATGATTGGGGAGCTGGCCAGTTTATGGACTACTCCTCAGTGTATGCCCTAAGCATAGTCAGATGGAGTGTGAATAGCTGAAGAGGCAGGCAGGACGTGATGTAAGAACTTCCTTTTGCCTTTTCCCATGTGGTTATCTTTGCACAATGGTGTGATTTCGAGGGTTCCATGAAAATGTTACGGGGAGGAATATCACTCTCCACTTACCTAATGGATTCCACAGAGGATGAGGCCAGTTATTCTCTCAACTCCAAATATACCCATCATAAATTCTTTGGATATTTAAATCTGTGAAATGTAAAGTGTTAAGAAATGAGATCTTTTTTCTCTCCAGCCCTTATCCTACTAGTATTGGGTAAGATATGCCCATTATCAATATGTGATTTAATATTATATGAATGAAAATAAACTATAGTAACCCATTAGAATTTGATTTGGAGGTCATTCTGGAGTAATAGCTTAAAGAATATCATCAGTTCAAATCTCAGTGTCTGGTGAAAATCTGTGGAAGTAGACATGCGTTTCCACTTCACAATGTATGAATGTGAGTTCCCGAGCAACTCTTCTCTCCCGGGATGTCCCTGTCACGCTTCACCTAGGGCTCCTTCTGCCAGAATGAAAAGTTCAGTGTGAGAAGGTTCTGTGCATTAGGGAAGGAGAGATTCAGACAGCTTGATATGGATTAAGGAATTCAGACTTAAGGGGACCTTTTAAGGGAAAGGTCACTTGGATGACATCTTAGACGGGACAATAATACAAAAGACAGTTGGGGAAGCCTTTGGCAGAAATAAAATTGCAGTGGCTTCACGGATGCAAAAACTGAAGTAGAGAACTTCTGTCATTCATCCCGAACCCCGGTAGGGGTTGAGAACTTTGGTCACAGCAAAGTGCAGGTTGAACAGTTAAGAGAACGGTTAATGATGAATTTGGGTGACTCTTTTCAACTCTGCCATTAAACCTGGAATCTATACTGCTCCCCAACTTATCCGGAGTGGGAGAGGTTTGGATGAGTAAGTTGTTTTTGAATTTTTTAAAAATGAAAACCTTGAGAACTGGGGTATCTGTCTGCAGACACAGTGCAGAGGCGGCAGTGACAGCTGGGGGTGTGGTCGTCCCCCTGCTGCACGGAGGACCTACACAGGTCCCGGTCTTCCAGCAAGTTCCATGTGAGCTGCAGGCTGTGGCCTTGTTTGTTGTCTGGCGAATGTTGTGGGGCCTGCGCAGCTGCTGCCAACTGGGAGCAGTTTCTGGCTCTTTCCCCAGCGTGTTTCAGGTTGAACCAGAAGCGGGGCGTTCTGGGGCATAGTCACAATTGGGTAGCAGTATGGAGATTGTTTCGAAAGGAAAGGGGCCCGTGGAGTAGGGAAACTGCTGAGATCCTCCCCTCACCCACTTCTTCCCCTTCGCTCTGCGTCTGTGTCCTGTCCCCTCCCTCTAGTCCAGCTGCCACCTCAGATAAAGGAGCTGCCCTGCCTGCGCCTGGGGCTGAGCAAGGGGGCAGGGCTGGCGAGAGGACTCTGAGTGGTTCAGCCCTGGGCGTGCCTGGGTTGTGCTGATTCGGTTTGCTTCCCACCCTCCATTCCCAAATGCCTATCTACCTTGAGAATCAAAATGTGGTTGGAGGTGGGAAGGGACCTTCTGTAGAGCAGCCTTGGTGTGTGGTCGACCCACCCTGGGGTGGCTCCCTTCTCAGTTGGCTGGGGACCATTGCCCCGTTGTATTGTGAGTTTAACGCACAGGATCCAGAGACATCCAGGCTCTTTTAACCCAGAACAATGGAGCCTTGGTTACCCTGCCCCTGCAGTTTTCTAGAGCAAACTAAAAACATCCAAGCTGGCAAACTGTTCTTCTCACCCCAAACATTGGGAGCTTTTGAGAGCAAGCCGGGGTGGGGTGCTTTTCTTGAAGATAAGGGCAGCCTAGCTCCCTCCCTGGTAGCTGCCATCCTGGGCCCATGACTTAGCAAAACTGATATGTAAGTGGGGATAATATAGGTGGTCTTCTCAAAAACTGTGCTTATTTAGACTTCGGTGGTTCCTTACAAAAGGCAAAGTTAGCATTGAACCTTGTTAGTGATATTGTAGCTCAAAGGTAACATCACTGTGTGCTTCTTTCCTTATTTTGTTTTTCTAAAACCCTTACCCATTATTTGCAGATTTCCACATCTAGGCAGAATAGCTTCATGTATGTATGAGTCTAGGTACCTAGACTATTAACAAAAAAAGAGCCAAATGTTGAGTAACTGTATTACCGGTTGCATATTGTTCTTTGCTTTGTACGTTTTTTCATCCCCCTGATGGATGCTGATTTTAAAATGTGAAAGAAGTGTTAGAATGATGTGGATATCATTTTATTTGTCAACCATAATTAAGTACCCTTAGGCTTTTATATACAAGGTTAACTTCCAACTCTACATTTGATTCAAAGACAACAGTAAAATTCTCTTACGTGCAAAAAGCCAGATGACCAACCTCAGGGAGAACCTGAGAAAGGCCGGGCTTCCCAGCATTACTTGGAACATTCTGAGAATATAGCCTGGTTTTTCTCCATTTCTGCATGGACAGCAGTATGTTACTGGGTCCTGTCTCTTGGGTGTGTTTCGCTAGTATTTTAAACCTTTGTTTTTCAACATGGATTCTCAATGATTGACCCCTGTCGAAATCCCGATTTTGACTTTCACTGATGTGGGATGAGCACAGCAAGTCTTCCACTGATGTCACTCCCCGATCTTGCCTAACGAGAGCTCGGATTTCAGTTTTACCCCAACATCTGTAACCTGGGTCTCTGCCAGCATGCCCCTTGGGTTTTACTTTATTTCAGCCTCCTGTGGTCATTGGCCACACCATGTGTTTTGAGGGTAAAATGAAGGATAGATGGGCCTTTTCTTACCCAAACTGGTGTCTGAAGTCCCCGTTTTTCATGTGACATGGAAATAGGAATTGCTGTCAGATAACAATACCGGACTTTTCTGGTTCAGGTCAAATATTTTACCCTTTACATTTGGAGTTTCTCTTGTACTGTTTTCTTAACCTGTCACAGCCTCTTAATTAGAATGTATTGCTAAAGGACAGGCCGCATTGTCAAACTTTGTGCGTTTTATAAAAATACACAAAAGCACCAGACAAGCAGCTGTAGTGCGAACTCATCCAGATGGGAAACTGAAATTCCCCAGAGGGGCATCTTCATTGTTGTCTTTCTTTGTTCCAGAAGCAAAGGCCGATAATGAACCGAGCTGTTCGCCGGCAGCTCAAGAACTGTTGACAAGGCTGGGATTTTTACTGGGAGAAGGGATCCCGAGTGCCACACACATAACCATTGAAGACAAAAATGAAACCATGGTAATGCCCGAGGAAGACACTGCATTTCATACCTGTTCAGAGGACAAACAAAGTGATAACCATCTTCTCCCCCTCCTTGAGTGGGGAAGTCATTGTTTGGTCAAATGAGTTCTGGGCTATTGTGTATTAAAATTTATTTCAACAATTTGGTTCTGGGTTTTTGCAGGAGGGAGGTGGGGAGAAGCAGAAGGAAGCAGAACTTAAGAAAATGTCCACATTAACCTTCTAGTGAGCACCTGGAGAATAGTGGCTGAATGAATTAAAGGGGCTAAAAGAATCCCTTCATAATGATACTAGTACTTTATAGCACCATTCTTCTCATCTGGCTGCTTTAGTATATGCTTTCCTGTGCTTTTTTAGCTGCTGATATTTTGGAGGGTCAGTGGGGTGAGGAAAAGATTTATAGGAGATGAGACAGAGACAAAATAAGATGAGATCAAATGGATCAGCTACCAAGAGAGCACTGCCTCCCCCGCTCCGGGGAGTAGCTACGCAGCACGCCCGCTGCCACTTCGAAGATGTGTGTGCTTGAATAGCAATAAGAGGCTGGAGCTTCTACCCCCCGCGAGGAGCTCTGTGAGAGAGGGTGTCCTGCGTTGATTGAGGCTGCAGTGGTGACCAGTCTCCTTCCCCTGATTGCAGAGCCCATAAATCTTTAGGAATTGAATCAGGTCGTGGTGCTCATGAAACATTACAAAAACAGAGTTCCCAGGTTTTCCGTACAGGGGTCAAATAACCCATTTGTCTTCTGCAGACTTTAAATGAGAGGAAATCTCTGCCTGTTTGCCATGTCTGTTTTACAAATGTGCATTCTCAATAAATTATTGCTAAGACTGCCCTTTTAATAAAAAAAGATCACAAAGGAGGAGAACAAAACAAAGATATTTCTCTTAAAATTTGAAAGATCATATATGTATATATCCATATATCTATGTCTGTGCATATGTATTTCCCTAGATTTCAAAAACTGTCTTCCACTTTGCTGTTTTAAGTTTTATTGTTTTAGTGTCAAAAACAAAAGCATGTGTTGGAGACTCCTGTGTAAGCCGTGCTAACTCCTCCTTCCCTTCGTCTTGCAGTGCACAGCTCTGAGCCAAGGCATTAGTCCTTGCTCCACACTAACAAGCAGCACCGCATCTCCTAGCACCGATAGCCCCTGCTCAACCTTGAATAGCTGTGTCAGCAAGACGGCAGCCAACAAAAGTCCCTGTGAGACCGTTAGCAGCCCTAGTTCCACCCTGGAAAGCAAGGACAGTGGAATTATAGGTAAGAAGCACACAGCTCGGTAATGTAATGGCTTGATGCTCGTCAACCAGAGCACTCACCAGGCACTTCCTAAGAGGGTTTTAGCATGGACTGTGAAGGTCAATCTGCCGGGGCCTGTTCTTTGCAAAAAAAAAAAAAAAAAAATTCTTTTCAGAGGGCACTGATCCATGTGTAGCTGAGAGAATGAAGCATCGGCTTTTACGTTCTTTGATGTTTACTTTGTAACACTCAGCTCCTTTAGTTAAAATTTTTTTTTTTTTTAATTTTTCCAGATCAGATCTGGCTTGTGAAGTTACAAAGAATCTTCCCTCCTCACTAATCAGTTCCATTTGCTGAACATCAGGACCCACTGGGGCACAGAGTAGGGCAGTGGAATCCCTGCATATTAAGAAGTCTTCCTAGCCTGATCTCAAGGTCACCTGTTTCCCTGACAACAGTTCAGGTGTATGTTTTCTAAGGTTTCTTACAATGGTATCTGACCACTGTCGAGGCCAGAATTTTATAAGGATGCCCTCCCTAAGGCCCCACACCCCCAGAATAGGTGTGGTTGTCCTGAACCAAGGGCCAGGAGACTAGGGTTCTAGTCCTGACTCTGAGGCCGATTTGCTAGGTGACTCAAGCAACATTTGGCTTTTTTTTCCACATTTCTTTCCTCCTCTAGAAAATTAAGGATTTTGATTAATTTAGTAGTTTCCAGTCCCAGGTGTACATTAGAATCATCCAGGGAATTTAAGAGTCCTTATTTTCACCTGCTATCCCAGACAGACCACAGCTATGTTTCTGCGAGTGAGCTCAGGCACCGGTGTGTCTCAGGTCTCCAGCTTGGTGCCTTTCAGATAACGGACCAGTGGACCCCTGCAGGCGATTGTTCAGGCCTTCCTCTGCTCTGAGATTATATTGCAATTTCACAGTGGAACTCTTCTGAACAATTTAGCTCCTTCCCTTTTGCTGAGTTACCCACATGTCTTTGAGGGATATTTTATGTTTTATTATGGACTGGACACCACTTCCACGTTAATATGTAATCAAGTGGAATGAATGGCATTTGAGCTCCTTATTTTCTTTAGTCACCTGCAATTTCTTTTAAGTGTAATTTGAAAAACCAAGTTGCAAGTTCATCCAGTTTGTACTTTGGAGGTAGCCCCCAGAAGTTCCGTGAGATTCCTGGGAATGGTTGTGGGCTATCTGGTGTAGACCTCACTATAGCTTTGAGAGGGGCCCCTGAGCTTAAGGAATGCTGCTTCTTGCCTCAATTTTCACTTGGATCAGAATCTTTAGTGGATTTTTGTTTTATTTTGCTTTAATTGCTTTCTTGAGGTAAAATTCTCCTACTATAGTATTCACCCATTTAAACCATTGGATGGTTTTTAGTGTATTGAAAGTTGTGTGGCCTCCACCATATCTGATTTTAGAACATTTTCATCATCCCAAAAAGAAACCTTACGCCCATTAGAAGTCAACTCTACATCCTACCCTTACCCTCTACCTACCACCTCCGAGCTCCCCAGCCCTAGTCAACCAATAATCTGCTTTCCTGTCTATGGATTAGCTTATTCTGGACAGAGCATATAAATGGTGGCAGAGTTTTGTGTAGCAAATTTAAATTCTTTACACTTGGCTTGAAGGCCTTCCAATGAGCTTATTCTGCTAATTCCCCATTCTCATCTTACCTTGCTTCCCCAGTTGCTATTTAGTCTAGTTCAGCTAATTTTTTCCAGCATTACTTCTGTTCTCATTCTTTCTGAGCTATCCACCATTGATAGATCTTTGTTATTAATTCTGAGATATCCAGATGACTTTATTGACAGCCTTCTTAGCTCTTCTGAAATTTCATCTCCTCTGGGGAATTTATCTATCTTCCTTCAAGGATGTGGCCAGTGCTACTTTTTTGGGGGGCGGGGCGGGCAGGCCTTTTCTTTTTATTATATGTTCTGTCCATTGGCATTACATGCCTCTGATTGTAACCAAATCAGTTTTTTGTTTTGACAGAAACTTTCAGTCACAGAGAACCACCCATTCATTTATTTCTCTTCTCTCTCTCAGTGAGACACAATGCTATGATTTTTAAAGAATTCTAAACAGGAAAGAGGTACTGGTTTGGCTTTTTGTATTGTCAATGAAAGATTGAGCTGCGGAGGCTCTTAATTAGTATTTGATTTAATATATAGTCCTACCCAACCCCAGACTTATTAGTCCCCCTGTTATGTGCTCCCCCTGGTGCCTCAATATTTTCCTTCAATGTATGTATTTTTGTTCTATTTAATTTTGTCTCTATATAGACAGGGGTGTGTCATTATTCCAGCTCTCTTGGGTTCTTTGCACAGTGTTGGGGATGAGAAAATTGTTGCATTGAGGGAGGATACATTTGGTTTGTTTGTAAAGAAGCTATGCAGGATTCACGTTCCATGTTGCCTTTGTCAAACCTTTTAATGTCCATGTTTTAAGCTCTGCTTTGATGACAAAGTAGTACATTTCATGTCATCGAGGCTGCCCTTTGTTCATTGGCTCAAGCCAACATGTCGCCTGAACTCAACTGAACTTGAAAAGTGGCGACAACTGAGATGAAAGCAGGAGGAATTAGGAGAAGTGGCTGGGGAGGCCCCCTCTCTGGAGATCGTGCTTCCCACTGCATTAGCTGTTCCCCTGTGGGGTGCAAGGACTGTAGGTGGGATGAGAGGGAAGCACCATGCTGGTGACAACGTTCCTCTGTTCTCTCTTCTTCCACGACCTGCAGAATTAGAACCTCTTGCCAAGGGACACACTGGAGGTGTGGTAGGGAGGAGAAGGAAAAGAAGCAAGAATTTCCTCTCCAGGCAGATGTTAGCCACAGGTCTTTGAAGAGGCAGGCATGGTGGGGCCAGAGGGGGAAGGAGCTTCCTCTTAAATCAATACAGGGTGTGCTGGTTCCATTGCTTCTTAACAGAGCAGGTATCTATGACTCAGTTATGGTTCTGTGATTGCTAGGGTGAGGGGTGTGCCTTTTTCCGTCTGAAGAACATGCCTGTTTTTATAAGGTGTAGCCTGGGAACAGCAGCTTTGGGGCATCTTAAATGTTCGATAAAGTATTCAAGAGCACTGTGATCCTAGTGAGCTGAGATGAAGGTAAGATACCTTGGCTTTCTGCTTTGGAAGACCTGGCAGTAGCTTGCAAAATAGGCCGGTAAGGATTCATGTTCCAGATTACATAGGGCCTGGAGAAGGGAGGAAGAGGCTTTCTCTTTAATTTTCCATTTTAAATAGTTTAAAGTTTGTCAACCAGTAGCGCCGGGGTTGGGATGGCAAAGGCTTTGGGGGTGGGCTGGCACAAAATGCACAGCTGCCGTGGCATTATGAGGCTCAAACCAGGGGTCCATGTACAGTATTAGCACAGTTTATTTAGGGCATTTGGGGAAATTTCAAACGGTGCTAACCCATCCTTTAAAATTCCTGAGCCTCTCCTTGCTATTTAAGCTGATTTCTGTCACGTTGATTATATTTAATCTAAATATTTTTGCCCAACAGATGCAAGGACAGGAAGCTTGTGTTCCTACATGCCCGGGCAGCCCTCTGAGGGCTGCGCAGGGCGCCCTGCCTGTGTTCTGTTTCCACTGCTAAGGAGCAGAAAGGGCAGACTAGTGACCGTTAGAAGAATTTATTGGGTCCCTTCCAGTCTTTCTCTAAGTGGACCCTCCCCAACCCGTTTCAACTGAATTATGTTATCTAGACGGGAGTCCCACTTTATCCTATTTCAGAAGGTCCAAGTTCTTCTGACAAAAATGTCTTTAAAATATAATAATTCTGTCATGTAGAAATACTGTCTAAGCTGGATGGGATTCACTGAATTGCCTGTTAATGTCTTTTTCTTATTAAGTAAAGTTCCTTACCCTTTGCATAATAAAATCATTGGCATTACTAGAAGTTAGTGTCTGATTTTTAAATTTGCAATGTGGAAATCTTCTAAATGTGAAACCCAGCTGTACTTAATCACCATAAAATAGCTTTCAGTTACTTGCTTTGAAAAGAAAAACTTTGAAAGAAAAACTTTGTGTAAAGAAGTGTACTTTTGAAGGTGTTTCCTCTTGTGTCTGAGAAAACATTTTTCCATAATGACATTCCTTTGACTATAACCTTGCTTCCAGCTGTTACACATGGAAAGTATAAGCTGTATTAATCACAGTTTAGAAAAAAATAAAGTGTGTATGTTCATTGGAATGTATGAAAACCAATCTGATTTTTTAAAAAAGCATCACTAAAAATAGTGGGTTTTAAAGTACTTTTTAAGTTGGGCGCAGTGGGTCACACCTGTAATCCTAGCACTTTGGGAGGTCGAGGCGGGAGGATTGCTTGAGTCCAGGAGCTTGAGACCAGATTGAGCCAGAGCGAGACCCTGTCTCTACAAAAAAATATAAAAATTAGCCAGGTGTGGTGATGTGCGCCTGTGGTCCTAGCTGCTTGGGAGGCTGAGGCAGGTGGATTGCTTGAGCCGGGGGGGGACGCCAAGTGGACGGCAGCCACCTCTCCCAGACTCGGTGTGTCTCCCACCCTGAGCAGATGTGCTGTCCATCTGCCCGGCTCCCCACCCCTGAGCTGGCAGGCGTGAGCCACCACATTCCACCAGGCTAGGGAGCCGTCAGGATGATTAAGTGCTCAGAATTCCAGCCCTTCCCGCCACCTTTCCCTTTTCTTTCCTTGTGCTTGCCTGTGTTTTCCTCTTGTTCAGTTCGAAGCAGGGAGGCAGGTATAAATTTAGACAGGAGAATACCTTTGCAGAAACATTTCTCCTGCAAAAGTGCCTTGTGGTAAAATATTAGACATTTGGTTAGCATCCTTCCGGTGCTTGCTAGAGTTTGATAATATTTGTTTTTCTGCCCAGTTGCTTAGGAAGTTAGGAAAATATCCTGGGCTGACTTTTATCTTCCTTGGACTCTCTCATACCTCCTGCTAGGCTTGTAAAATTAAAGTGCTTCCAGAGGTGGCTTTACACCTTTTATTTCCGGGAGTTTGTGTCCTAAGGGAGATTA